TTGTGCAAAATTAAAGAAAATTCGGAAAAATTTCATTCAAATATTGCACTTTTTATTTACGCTCTCTAGAAAAAAGTTGAGTATGCAGTTTTTTAGCCCATTCAATTTTAGTATAATAAAGTGCAAGTATAAGGAAGCTAGGACTTACCATTGATTTTTGGGAAATTTTTTTTGTTGAAAGTGTCGAACATTTTTTCCATATAAAAAAATTATCAAACATTATTACATTTTACGAACATTATGTCTTACGAGGGATTCTCGATCGGCGAAAAGTTAGGGAATGGCGCGCACATGATAAAACAAACAAAAAAATGTAATAGAAAGAGGCTTGTAGTAATTTGTCAGCACAAAAAAAAAAAAATTCATTTTGTTAGAAATTTTTCTTGAACCACAATATTTTATAATATATAATACAATTTCAAGCGAGAAAAAGTACTCGAAAACGAATCGCAAACGCTTATCATAAACGACTTTTTAGCCGGTTTTTCTTCGAGAAAACAGCCAGTTACGAGCTCGTTTACGATGATTTAGCTGGCTGGGTCTAAAGCCGTTTTTATTGAGTTTTTGGTTTTCTGAGTTATGACAGTATTGAATTCAATAAGCGTTGTGTTCATTTTCACGGCATTCACATATCCAATAAAAAACATTTCAATGTGATTGAAAGAACGAAATTTTTTTTTGCTGACTGTCCTACGCATTTTTTCCATCTCAAGCCAGCCAGCAAACAAAATCTCAAAAGTCAACGCGAATTTTTAGACATTTGAAATATGCACAGTATTAAACTAAAATTTAAAGGGCTATAAAACTGCATACCTTAATTCTTTTTAGAAATTCGTATTAAAAAGTTCACGATTTTGCTGAAACTTGGCAGATTTTTCTTAATTTTTGTACACAGTATCATTCTCGGATTTAAATGGGATTTGCTAAAACATAAGTCATATTTTAAAACAAAATTAACAAAAAAATTTTAGCATGTAAAAGATTACGAATATTAACAAAAAAGAGCCGTACGCTCAATTTTGGGAGTAACAGTATGTAATTTAAAACAAAAATTATTTAAAAAAGTTTTAAACATGTCGATACCTTTTTGTATTCGCGATACTTACTCAGTACTTGTGGAAAAGTATTGAGTTCTCGATACTACTCAGTACTCATGAAAAGTATCGATATTCTGCACTCAGTACTCGTATCGCTCTATCACTAATCATAACTCCCCTGTAAAATCGTCTGCTTAAAATGTTAACCATCAAAAATGCCCTTTTACGTATGAGTTAGAGGGCTAAAATCTACTCTAGAAGTCTGAGGTCAGAAATTTCATTCGAAGTCGTTTTATACCTGGACTAATTGTATATTCGGCAAAGTTGGTCTGCGAGACATCATCTTTCATAATTATTAGCGTTTGTTCGTGTTGTGTAACCAATCACTAACAGTGTAATCAATCGTCATTTTAGTCGATTTTGATACGAGTACTTTAAACTTTTTAGGTTGGGCTGAAGTTTTTGTTGCCACTCAATCGATTCCCGGAAGGTTCTTGTGATGAACTCAACAAAAATCCAATTCATAAATGATCTACTGTTTTCGCTATGCAGCTTGAAAAATTCGCGTGAACACTACTTCTGAAGTATTTTAGGCAGCCAGTTCCTGCCTTGAGGACGTCGCCTTAATCGGCGATACTGAGTTCTCATTGTTTTCAAATTGACGTTTTAACTTGCTTGAATAATTTACAGCGCTTATTTTTATTCTTGGTCAAGAGTCACGCAAACAGATACATATCTACTCATGATCTTTGGTTGTTATTGTTGTTGTTGTTGTAGCGGCACAACTAAGCCCCGTCTATTATCCATCAATCCTTGTCGTCAAGCTCAACAAACGGTAGGCCCAGAAAACGCGGTTGCTCCCGATGGGTTGAACCAGAGGGAGAGAGGTGTTAGTTGACTAGGTTTAAGTGGTTGGTGTCGCGGAATCTCCACATGCCGGACATGTATTAGATAACTGGGCCAGAGTAACGAGGCTTTCTTTTGGCAACTGAAGCTCATTGTCTGCGGTTGCTAGTGATTGGGCTCCTATAACGGCATTCATGCGGTGAGAGTCACAGCTGGTAGTGATGCGAGTCTGGATCGCGTCCGGCTCTATGTGTCAGATTGACTTAGATATTTCCTGATTGAAAGCCTAAGCCCGTTTAGAGCGGCGAACCCATTGATCTCTAATATTTTCCTTTATTTTGTGGAGGCTTAAATGGCGGCACGAAACACAATTTTCTCTACATTATATGTTTTCATCGTGCGATATTTCAATCGTTCATCGATTTGACTGAAATAAATACATTTCTTTCTCTCTCTAACCACTCCGAATTTTTCGACCTTCCCTCGTAACTATAGAATCAATCATTGATTGACGTCCGTCTACTGCACTAATCAATAACAGCCAAGTGTTTCGCTGGATGTGTGATCGTGATACCTCAAAATATGTATATTTTTAGAAAAAGATACTCTTATTAAGTGAAAACAATCGAAAGTTCTTATAAATGCTTATCGTAAACGTTTTAATTTAACGAACTAAATAAACGTAAATGCGGCAGCCGCAGTAGCCGGGTGGTTAGAGGTGCACGCTATCATTCATTAGATCCAGGGTTTGATTCATGGTCCTAGCAACAGTGAAATTCTTTCTAATAGCGGTCTCATCTCGACAGGTAACGACAAACCTCGCGAGTTATTTCTGCTATGGAAAATCATCTTATAAAATAATTTGCCATTCGCAGGCGTTGTAAAACTATAGGTCCCTTCTCTTTGTGTGACAACATCAAGACGTGTACCAAAAACAGTAACAGCTCGGCCAAAAGCGTAGAAAAATGTGTAAGCGCGAAAAATTAAATTTTTCAAGTATAAATCAGGCAAAGTGTAATCTAATCATGTTTGCTAGAATATTTTTTGAATAGTCATTCCTCAAAAGTTATAAGTGATACTAAGTGTATATAATAGATAAAAAAAATTTAACATTTCGTCATTTGAACTAAACAAAAAAAAAAACAGAAACGACTCGCCAATTAAGCGGCAACAATTGAGCAGCTGAACTTGAGCAATAAATGTTACAGCTTGTGGGGGTTTCAAAGTCAACAATGATTGAGTTAGTTGCTCGACATTTGTCACAGAATAATAGGCTACTTGTATATATGTTTGTATGTTTGTACATTTCTATAAATACATACAATATAGTGGATGCATATCGCACACCTAGAGCAATAAAGCCACAACTAGATATATACAGTTTTTGAATTTAACTTCCATAATTAACGTGAAAAGCAGCTACTCATCTGCCTAGAATTCTTATATATCAAAAGAAAGTTCTTATTGCAAGATAGTAAACTAAAGCTATCAATCTGAATTTATGAAGAAGCAAAAGTTTTTTTTTTTTTGTGTCCTTGAAGGAAAAGCAGTTCCTTGTTGAGGACTCATCACTCTGGGTCTGCGAAATAATAATTCATCAACTAGTAGTATCAAGTAAATTTAGTTGGCTTTATTGTACACATACGTACACCTATGGTCAAAACAATAGAACTACGACATTTTGAACAGTTTTGACAACTTCTTCTCTAACTTCGTCATCGACTCGAGAACGATTTGGGAATTACCCTAATTTTCTAATGTAGAAATCCAAATTTCTCTAACGTTAGAGACTGTGTTTGCTGGATATATACTATATCTTACTTGTCTGCCATATCTACCAGAAAAAAAGTTCACCATACACCCCTGAGTTATAAAGTATTTTTGGAGGCCATTTCGAAAATTAAATATTTCACCTTTTTACATTTTGCGTCATATCATCGGCATTTACAGCCGGATCTTACCGCCGGTTTCACAAGCAGTTTAAATGGAAAATAATTTTTTATTTCCTGTCAATTTCCATATATTATTCCAAAAATTAAATTTATTTTCCACTTAAATTGTTTTCGTGAAATTGGCTGTTAATGTATGATATATCGATGTTCTTGTCTCGAGGAGACAGTTTTTTTTGTTCCAAAGTTCATTGACCAAATTTACTTCTTATCGCCCTAACGTACCACCCTAATGCCAGTAAATTAAAGCTCAACAAAGGTCATTAAACTTTTGCTAAGGAAGTATTTTGATTATTCCAGTAGAACTATTTAAAAAAAATAAATTAATGCGGAATGTAGGTGACACCGATTTAATTTTAAAAGCCAAATTGCTTCAAAATTGCCTTCCAAGAATGTTTGAGCTCTTTATTTTGAAGGTGGCATAAGTGCAGATGCATTCAGTTAGACTTATGCCACTTTCAAAATAAACGGCTCACTTTAGAGTCAGGGGTGTACGGCGAACTTCTTTTTTTGTTGGATTGTAAGGTGGTACGGTCTAATGTAAATAAGTATGTCCATATGCATTTCATGTGTATGTATTTATGTACATATGCAGGTATGAATAAAAAATATAGTTATATTTATGATCATTTACACGTTCGTATTAACATTTTCTTTGTTCATAATCTGAGTTTCAATTTGAAACGTCTTATCAGACAAATTTGTTTTAGCTATCACTTGTAATCAGAAAAGTACTACTAGATATCCTTAAAATATGTTTATATACTGATTAAGAATGTATGTACATATTACATACACATACATTAGACTGCATTACTCCCCGTACATTGGAGTTATAAAATTTTTTCGAAAAAATATTAAGATTTACGTGGGCTGGAGCGATTTGAAAATACCTCCAAAAATGGAGATTTTTTTTATGAATAAAAATAGTTTCTTAAAGAAATTTTTGAAAAAATCCCCTTAGATGACAAAACAGTTTAAACTTAAACAATCTGCATTGCCAGTTCGTCGGCTGCCTCGTTTACGTAAATGTCTATATGTCCCGGGACCCATATTAGGGTAATTTCGTATTGATCAGAGATACAGGCCAGCTCTCTCTTACAGTCCTTCAATATTTGAGATCTAACAGAGGTATGTGCAAGAGAGTGCCTTAATGGCCGCNTGTTTTTCATATAAACCCGAATTTATTTCTTTACTACACCAGCCAGTCATCTCACCTTTTGTCTTCATCGCTTAGGAAGAATTCATATCCTTTCTTTTTTGCTGATTTATTTAAACGCAACGAGCGTCGAAATTTTTTCGCCAAAGGTTTATTTGTTTCACGTTCGACCACACCTTTCAAATTGCTGCTGCGTCTGCGCAGATAATCATATTTTTCATACAAACTATGCCAAATGATGCGCAGCACTTTAGCACCCACATCGCCTATTCGGGAAGTATTGTTGTTGCTGCTGCTGCTATTGGCGCCGCTTTCGTTAGGCGTTTTTGTTGCGGCAGCTGATGTTGAACCATACAATTCTACTGTGGATGCGTATGAATTTTTAGCCGTTCGAGATTCGCACATTCTGCTGGCCGGGTGTTTAAAATATAGTTTTAGTAGTTTTTAAAAAAATAACCATAAACATATGTATGTATGCAAATTAATTTATACTTTTAGAAAATAGCGTTTTAACACGAGCTGCATATATTGCCCGGCTGGACCGTTGCTGTAAGACTAAATGTATGTTGATGAATTTCAAGCCGACGAAGACGTATGTATTATAACCATCACAAATG